TTTGAGATGGAGTCTTGCTCTGTCGCCCAGGCTGGAGTGCAGTGGCATGATCTCAGCTCACTGCAACATCTGCCTCCTGGGTTCAAACAATTCTCCTGCCTCAGCCTCCCGAATAGGTGGAATTACAGGCATGTACCACCACGCCCAACTAATTTTCTTATTTTATTTGAGATGGGGTTTCACCATGTTGGCCAGGCTGGCTTGAACTCCTGACCTCAAGTGACCCACCTGCCTTGGCCTCCCAAAGTGCTGGGATTACAGGTGTGAGCCACCACGCCCAGCCCTCCTTTCACATCTTAAATGAACTCAGCAGTATCCACCACCCCTTCCTTAAAACACTGTATTTTGGGGGCTTTAATTATAGCACACTCTCCTTGTTTCCCTCCAACCTCACTGGTGTTTCTCTGCAGTCTTCCTTGCTGGACCTTCCCTCTTCACCAGAACTCTAAAGATTGAAGGGCTCCAGAAGCTGGTCCTGGGCTCCATTCTCTGCCCTATTTACAAGTTTTAGAGACAGGATCTTGCTCTGTCACCCAGGCTGGAGTGCAGTGGCACGATCACAGCTCACTGTAGCCTCAAACTCCTGGGCTTAAGTGATCCTCCTGCCTCAGCCTCTTGAGTAGCTTGGACCACAAGCGCATGCCACCAGGTCTGCCTAATTTTTAAATTTTTTTGTAGAGATAGAATCTCACTATATTGACTCAAGCTAGGGTTGAACTCCCAGCCTCAAGCAATCCTCCTACCTTGGCCTACCAAAGCACTGTGATTATAGGTGTTGAGCCACCGCACCTGGCCTTAGTCCCTGGGTTTTAAATGCTATCTTATGGCAGAGTGCTATTATCCTCGATATCTTTTCTTCATACTAGAAATAATTTTTAGCCAGGCATCTGATCCCCAAAGATTATATTCTGTCTAGTCCAAGTATAGTGGTGTTTACAACTAATTGATCACAACCAGTTCCTTCTCCCCTGGCACTGCTTCACTTGACTAGCCTTAAAAAGAAAAAAAAAAAAACAGACTTGGGCACAGTGGCTCACATCCATAATCCCAGGAGTCTGAGGCCAAGGTAGGAAGAATCACATGAGTCCAGGAGTTTGAGATGAACCTGGGCAACAAAGCAAGACCCTGTCTCTCTCTCTAAAAAAAAAAAAAAAAAAATTGTAAAAACATTAGCCAGATATGGCTGGGGAAGCTAAAGTGAGAGGATTGCTTGAGCCTAGGAATTCAAGGTTACGATGAGCTAGGACTGCACCACTGCACTCTAGCCTGAGCAACAGAACAATACCATCTCAGACAAAAAAAAAAAAGAAGAATATATTCTTCAGCTTGCCTTGCAACCAGATGTGGCCATGTGACTAAGTTCTGATTGAAGTGAGAAGAAATATTTGCAACTTTCAGGTCTTATCTTTAAAGGAAAAGGCATCTTCTCTTTTCCTTCTTCCAAAGGCTAAAACAGAGACTTGCAAGAAATAGCTAGAGAAACCACTGAAAAAACAGATGGGGCTAAGTCTCATGATTGTGGAGCTGCCATACCACTGAGAAACAAAGAACATCTAACTTATTTAACTCACTATTATTTAGGGTCTCTCTGTCATAGCAGCCAAACTGACAATACATCATTTCTATACCAATGACTCTCAAATTTCTATCTCCAACTCTAACTCTCCCTGGAACTATCTAGCTGTTTACTAGCCATGTCTGCTTTGATATCTAACAGGCATCTCAGATTTCACATGGCCATAAAGAACTCCTAATTCAATCCCTCCCCAGATCTGTTCCCCCCTCAGTGTCCCCATATCACCACCCAATCTCTAGGCTTCCTTGGTGATTCCTTTCTTCCTCTCACCTCCACATCCAAGCATCGGCAAGTACTATGACAAAACCCAAATCTAACTTTTCTCCATCTCTAATATTTCATCAAAGCCACTATCATCTGAGCAACTGAATCAGCCCCATTACTGGTCTCCCTGCTTTTATTCTTGCCCCTCGCCCCCGATATTCCATTCTCCATGTTAGCAACCAGAGTGATCTTTCCAAAATGCAAGTCGTGTCATGTCATTCCCTCCCATCGCACTTGGAAAAAATTCCAAATGATTTACCCTGACTTACATGCATCTGCTTCCTTCTCTAACGTCATCCGTATCACTCTGCCTCTTGCTCACTACTCTACAGCCACATTGGCCCTTCCATTTCTCAAAAACATCAAGTTTGTTCTCACCTCGCAGCCCTCACACTGGCTGTTCCCACTGCCTCTCCCTGATCCTCACATAGGTGACTCCCAATCTAATAAAGCCCATCATATACCTGGTGTTACTGCAGGCACAGCATATAGAAATCCTGATATTTTTCTTATTTCTTTTGTGTACATCTATCATCTATCTCCCCTCCCACTAGAATGGAAGTTGCATGAGAGCCCAGCCCTTCTTGGTCTAGTTTATTGCCAAATCCCAGTGCCTAGTACATTGTGGGTGCTTATTAAACATTTTCTAAATGAATGAATTGAGGAATTTGAAAGAATTTCCATCTCATGGCTTCCATTTTCTTTCTTTTTTTTTTGGAGACAGAGTTTCGCTCTTGTTACCCAGGCTGGAGTGCAATGGTGCAATCTCGGCTCACCACAACCTCCGCCTCCTGGGTTCAAGCAATTCTCCTGCCTCAGCCTCCCAAGTAGCTGGGACTACAGGCACGCGCCACCATGCCCAGCTAATTTTTTGTAGTTTTAGTAGAGACGGGGTTTCACCATGTTGACCAGGATGGTCTCGATCTCTTGACCTCGTGATCCACCCGCCTCGGCCTCCCAATGTGCTGGGATTACAGGCTTGAGCCACCGCGCCCGGCCATGGCTTCCATTTTCTCTATGAAGCAGGGAGTAAAGTAATAGGCTGGGAATGAGAAGGAAAGAAGATTTAAATATAGCAGAAGGGTGGCAATTATAAAGAACGGGAGAAAGAGCAGAGCTAGAACTGTCTCCTTGGTTCTAGTCCACTTCTTTTTCCTTTAATGATACACACTTTTCCATTACAGCTTCTGTTAAATTCCACTGCATGTAAACAGGACTAGAACTTGAACTAATGTTAATAACAGGATCTAGCTCAGTTAGCAAATTCATTAATAATATACTACTTATACTTAAGGGGCACTTTACTTAGAACTACCATACTGTAAAGTACTGACTGAAGGGATTCTATATTAGGCCCAGAAAATAAAAGACTAGCATTCATATATTCATGCAACAGTCAACCATATTCTCTCTTAAACACAGCCATGAAAGACCATAATTAAGAACCACTTAGTGCTAATTGATATTACAAAGACAATAAAATATAAGTAGAGATCTAAAATATTTGGTCATCACTATGTGCTATTTATCAACTATAGATTTTAGGCTTCAATTGGTTATTAACCTCACTCACTGACTTGTTCACAACATATATGCTCAGCACTGATATACGCACACCTTATAATAACTCATGTATGTATAAAGCTAGTCAGTTGAAGTATAAGCAAAGGTAAATACCTGTTTCTCTTCCAATCTGACGTGTTCCCAGGTTGATCACAGGTGTTCCAAAAGCTCCCACCTCTCGTACCCCACAGCTGCTATTCCCAATCATACAACCAGCATGAGCAACCAACTGTATAAACTGGTCAAATGGGACGTGTTTAACTGCACGAAAATTGGGATGATGCTCAATGCCCTTCTTCCGCATCACTCGAACCATCTCTTTGCTCCCTATGAAAATGAAAAGAAGCAATTGGTAAATGGTTTGTGAGATAAAGAAACTATTTTCATTGGCAAGTATAGCCCACATAAAGAAAACTCCCTAAAAAACCTCACATCAGTTATTAGGGAAATAGTAATTTTAACTACTGACTTTTTCAAAGCCCTAGTAAAAACCTTTACCTTAAACAATTAAGAGGCTAAAAACAGGCCAACAGCCTGTATCTTAACCTGAGAGTTCGCAAATGGAACACTCTCAGGCTCCACACACCCAAGCTGATCAGAGAGCCTCTGCCCAGCTACGCTCCCCTTTATATTAACAAGAACTCAGTGGGATAGCACTCCCATTTATGTGGACTAAACTCCAAGAAAATACAGGTACATTCTGACACTGTGGCTTATATTTTAACTGCACAACTTAATAAAAATTAAAAGATACAGGCCAGGCGCAGTGGCTCAAGCCTGTAATCCCAGCACTTTGGGAGGCCGAGGCGGGTGGATCACGAGGTCAAGAGATCGAGACCATCCTGGTTAACATGGTGAAACCCCGTCTCTACTAAAAATACAAAAAATTAGCTGGGCATGGTGGCGCATGCCTGTAATCCCAGCTACTCAGGAGGCTGAGGCAGGAGAATTGCCTGAACCCAGGAGGTGGAGGTTGCGGTGAGCCGAGATCGCGCCATTGTACTCCAGCCTGGGTAACGAGCAAAACTCCGTCCCCCCCCCCCAAAAAAAATTAAAAGATACATGAAAGGGAGGCAATATTTAATGTGCCTCTGCTTGCCTCTCAACTGACCCTCTCCTAACTACCCCATACCAAGGGAGGAAAACTGCTAACCTAATTGGGTAGAAGGCAGAAGTATGACCACATCATGCTCATCAGTGGGCAGGCGCCACTCATTTAACCAAAGCTGTGCATGCATGCTTCTCAATCTTTTTAACTTTCACCGTGTGGCAAGGTAGGTAAATGGATTTGGGGTCTCTCTGGAGAAGGCTTGGCCACTTCTCCCTATATACAGTCTTGCCAGAGCATCATCTGTAATTATTGTACAGGTTGAGCATCCCTTATTCGACATGGTTGAAACCAGAAATATTTTGGGTTTCAAGTTGTTTTTTTTTTTAAATTTTGAAATATTTCTTATTCTGTTATACTTACCAGATGAGCATCCCTAATCTGAAAATCCAAAATCCAAATGTTCCAATAAGCATTTCCTTTGAGTGTCATATTGGCACTCAAAAAGTTTTGAGATTTTGGAGCATTTCAGATTTCAGATTTTTAGATTAGGGATACTCAAACTGTAGTACATGGCACACCAGTGCCGCTACTATTCCAAGATTCAGGTTTAGATTCAGTTGAAAGCTCCTCTTTGGCTTTATGCGTCAATAATCCACTTTCCAGAGACAGTCCTATACTGGGGCACTGGGCACTGAGCCAGATAATGATAAAGTGATGCCTTGATTCTTATTTTCCTATTGTTCCCTGGGTATATCTTACCAAAAACCCTGTGGAGGGTAGAGGCAAGTGGCAGCCATGACTTAGATATGCCTGGGACCCTTTACTTTCATAGAGAAAAAATACCTCCAATTCTAATCTAAAGTACAAATAGTCAGGAAAGTGTATTATAAACAGAATATATCATTGACAATGAATATTGAACCAGAGAGATACATAGTTATATTATAAACATTTATACAAAATTTAAAGGATCAGAGAAGAATAAATATTAAAGTTTCTGAAATACTGATGCATTACCTGGAAAAAATCTGGGTTGGGTATTAAATGTTTTTCAACTAATATCCTACTTTGTTCTCCCTCACAGAAAATATTGTTCAAGGGAACACTTGACAGGGGTTCTTTCAGGGTAAAGTGGTGATATCTTGACATTGCAGAGAAAGGGGTTCTGCCTCCTTTACCAAAAAAAGCCTAAGAATTCAGCAATGAGTGGTGGTATCAGCTAACAATAACCAGTACTTGGAAATTCTTCAGTGTTAGGCTCTGTTCTGGCATTTCTCATTAATATCTCATACCCTCATTAACTCGCCTAAGGTCTCAGGAGTACCAAAATCGATAGTACCATCCACCAGTAAGCAAGTGATCAACCAGGGCAGGCTTGAGGATCACTGGTTGGTACTGGCTGGGGACTCCAGATTTAAACTGCTTCAGCTCAAGATTACTTTAAGGTATAGTTAATATAAGTAAGAAAGCAAGCAAGAAATAATATTAGTGACTGATTTACTTTTCTAGAGCTACTCTTTCACTTCAACTTCTACTCTCTCTTTTTTTTTTTTTTTTTATTTGGGGTTTTTTTCTTTCCCCCTTTCTTTTGTTGTGTGGTGCCTTTTTGTCTCCCTCCACCCTCCCCCTCCTGGGTTCCAGCGATTCTCCCACCTCAGCTTCCTGTGTAGCTGGGATTACAGGCCCTTGCCCCCCCATCTGGCCTAATTTTTTGTATTTTTAGTAGAGACGGGGTTTCACCATGTTG